AGGAGTTTCACTCACTTTTTAATTGTGGTGTTTGTTTTCTTATTGTTGGCTTCTGAGCATACTTTGTATATTCTGGATGTCAGTCATTGTCAGGTCTATGATTTGCAAATATTTTCTTCTCCTCTATTGCTCATATTTTATCTTCTTAACGGTGTCATCGGCAAAGCAAAAGTTTTAAAATTTAATAAACTCCAACTCATCAGTCTTATCTTTTAGATTTTGCTTTTGATATTAAATGTATGAACTATTTGCTTAGCTCTAGGACACAGAGGTTTTCTCTTGTGTTTTCTTCTAAATGTTTTATAGAGCTTTCAAATGTTTATAGATATATGATCTATATTTATGTAAGACATGAAGAGTAGGTCAAGGTTTTTGTTACAACATATTTTTTTTTAAAAAAAGATTATTTTCTCTATTGAATGTACTTGGACTTTTGTCAAAAATCAATTTGTCATATTTGTGAGTCTATTTCTGTTCTGTCTTTTCTCTTTCATTGACCTATTAATATTAATATATACATATCTCATGACAGTACCATGCTATATAAAATACTGTAACTTTATAGTAAGTCTTACAATTGGGTAGGGTGGTTCCTCTATGTTACTCTTCTTTTTAAAAGAAGAATAAATTTTTTTAAAAATTTGTTTTGGTAGTCCTGGTTTCTTGCCCTTTCCATAAGAGAATGATCTTGTTGATCTACAACAATTCTTGCTGAAAATTAGAATTAAAAATTTATCCATAGATCAGTGTTTAGGGAATTGACATTATTCCTATGTTGAGTGTCCAATTCAAGAAATTACTGTGTCTTCAATTATTTAGATTTTTGAGATTTTTTGTAAGCATTTTGTAGTTTTTATCATATAGGTCCTATATGTATTTTGCTAGATTTATACCAGGGTTTCATTTTTCATTTTGGGGAGTTATTGTAAATGATATTTATACATTTTGATTTCTGTTTATTGCTAGTGTATATATATATATATATATATATATATATATATATATATATGATTAATTTTGCACATTCATACTTTTGCTAAACCCATCTATTAGTTGTAACAATTTTAAAAAATAGATTTGTTGGGTTTTCTATGTAAACCATCATGTTTGAAAAACAAGGATAGTTTTGTTTCTTTCTTCCCAACCTGTGAGCTTCTTCTGTTCCTTGCTTCACGGTACTGGCTAGTGCTCCCAGTAGTGCTGGGCAGCAAGTAGCACCAGTGGACACTGTGGATCTGCCCCAGGTCTCGGGAGGAAGGCATTCACTCTCTCACGCTTCCATGGGACATTAATTTTTTAAGGCACCTTTGACCAGGTCACTGAAATTCCCTCCTATTCCAAGTTTTCTAAGCATTTAGATTGTGTTAATGTTACACTTAATTGAAAGATTTTCTCCATCAATTTCACTCCTAAGAGAAAGCTCACTTGTTCAAGGTGTATTATTTTCCTTTTTGCCTATAGCTGGATTTAATTTTCTATTTTGTTGACGTTTTAGCACCTACATTTATGAGGTATGTTGGCTGGTAGTGTTCTTGTCCTGTATTATCTCTGAGTGATTTTGATATCAGGTTACTGCTGACCTCATAGAAAGAGTTAGAACATATTTGCCTCCTTTTCTATTTTCTGAGAAAGATTATGTACAATCAGTGTCATTTTGTTTTAGATTTTTTTTTTTTTGGTTGAATTGACCAGTGAAACCACCTGGGCTTAAAGATTTATTTGGGTGACTATTTTAAATACAAATTCATTTCCTTCATGGTTAGGACTCTTCTGGTTAACCTTTCATTTGGAGCACGTTCTGATTCGTGGCTTAGAGAAATTAGGCTATTGAATCTACTTCATAAGTTGTTTGCAGGAGTTGCTTATTATTCTCTTAAGGTCTGCCTCCCCGACAGCGTCAAGCTCTGTCATTCATGGTACTGGTGATTTGTGATTCCTCTTTTCTCTTTGTTCATTCTCTCCAGAGTTTATCAAATTTATGGATCTTTAAAAATAACTGGATTTTGCTTACATCACTTTGCTCTATTGTTTTTCTTTTTTTCATTTTGATATCTGTTTTTTATGGTCTCTTCTTGTTTGCTTTGTTTTTATTTTGCTCTTATTTTCTCCGAGTCACAGCATATTTATTTTGACTTCTTTTATAACATACACATTTAATGCTGTGAATTTTCCTCTAAGCACCACTTTTGCTGTGCTTCCCAAATTTTAATATCTTATATTTTCATTTTCAATTCAAAAACTTTCTAATTTTCCTTGAGACTTTTTGTTTGACATATAGATTATTTAGAATTAAGTTGTTCTGTTTCCAAAACAGTTGTTTGGACAATTCCCTGTTATTATCCTGTGACTGATTTGGGGCCTTGTTCTGTTATGGATAGAGAAACTTCTTTGTCTCATCTCAGTTAAAAAAGAAAATGTTCAGGTTTGTTTTCCATCTCAGAATGCACACTGTCTTGTAGGTGATTCCACTTGAGAAGCATGTTCATTCTCTGTTGTGGGGGGAATATTCTGTAAATGTCGGTTCTTTTGTAACAGTGATTCTCAGCTGGGGTGGTCTTGTCCCTTTCTCCCTTCCCCCATGGGACTCTTGCCAATGTCTGGAGACATTTTTAAGTGTACATCTTGAAAGAAAGATTCTGCTGGCGTCTAATGAGCAAAGGCAGAGATACTGCTAAACAATTCACAATGGCTCCCCCACAAAAAATAATTAACTGTTCCAAAATGAATAGTTGTGAGGTTGGGAAGTCCTATTTTATATCAGTACTCATTTTCTGTTTGCTTTTCAGTTAATGAAAGAGAACCATTGAAGTTCCCGACTGTTATTGTGGTATTCTCTAAATCTCCTTCCTGTTGTGTCATTTTGCTTCATGTTTTTATTAGGTTCATACACATTTAAGATTGTCTTGTCTTCTTAGTGAATCAACAATTTTATCTTTTGTTGTATGTAATGCCCCTCATTATCTCTTATAATTTTCTTTGGAATCGACTTTGTCTGATGTTAACGTTAATATAGCTACTTCAGCTTTCTTTGGGCCAGTATTATTATGATTTGTCTTTTCTTATCCCTTTACTTTTTCTTATTACTGTCAAATGATCCTTTTTATTGAAATATTTTCCTCTGTAGCTTGTAAACAGCTGGGTGTTCTACAGCTCCATTGTCGATACCATCTGTGAAGTCCTAAGAGTAGAGGACATCAACCCTGCAGACCCAGTGTGGAAATCCCTCATCTCCCAAAGGGGGTTCCCAGGGTTCTCCAGTTAAATATCAGTGCTCATCTGTTAGGCAGTGCTGACGGTCACATCCAGAGTGATTTCCACTTTGCTGTTTCTCTGCTTCTTTCTCCCTTGAGGGCCTTAATGACCAGGGAAGAGGTGGAATGCATTCCTGCAGGGGGGGGCCTGGTGTTCGGACTGGCCAGTTTTGCTGTAGAACTCAGGCCTCTGGACCAGCTGTTTACTTGGTGAATTCACCACCAATCTCTTTTTGGAAGAAAGAACTAGGGGACCGGTCTTGGGGTCCAGGTGGATCTGGTACCCATGTTTCCTCCCAGTGTACTTTGGTCACATGACTTTCATCTTGTTGAATCTGGATGACATGGAAGAGGTGGCTGATGTTGGATATAGGATGATAGAAGATAGTTGGCCTTGGCTCCTTTGGAGCTGAAAGCCAAAAGCCCATCCTTTCAATTTTAATGTACTTACATTATCATGTTTAAAGTGAGTTGTCTCAGCAGTCTCTCTCTCTCTCTCTCTCTCTCTCTCTCTCTCTCTCTCTCTCTCTCTCACACACACACACACATTTATTTCATTACTGAACATATAGATAATATGTTTATTTTCTTCTGGGCTTTTAGTTAGAATAGTGCATGCTTACCATGCGAGTACTGGCTAGGTGACCAAACGAATTACCATGCAAAGGAGGGCTCTTGAGAGCAAAGGAGGAAGCTGACAAATGCCAAGACAGATGGACCCTGTAAAATGCATCCTAAACAGCACTTCAGCTGGGGACGAACAACCAACAGTGGCTGGAACCACAGCTGGGAGAAACCAGCGGCAATGGTCTTGGCCTTGGAGGATTCGAAGAGGGGATGCGTGCAGTCCCTAAGGTTGGTGTGGCTCAGCCACTCAGGATCTGGCTCCCACGTCCAAAGGGGTTTCCTTGGGCATACTCTCTTCTCATGTTCACAACCACTCTGCGAGGGGAGTTATTGTCCTCATTTACAGATAAGGGAGCAAAGGCCCAGAGAGTGAATGCAGAAGGTCCAAGATTGGTATATTCAGAATTTGGTGGAGGTGACACTGCTCTTTGCCCTTTCTGATTCCAGACACTAACCTGGATGCCATAAGCCACGTGCTGGATGTAGACTTTGGTGGCGATGGAGCGGGGCTCAAGTCCCAGTTCTGGGCTGTTGAGCTCTGTGGCCTTCGTTGCCCTGTATGATCACAGTGTGTTGTGGAGCAGCGCCTTCAGCGTGTGCAGCGCTGTCACTTGCCCTGCTCTGTACCAGATGCTTTCTCTGTATGTCCCACTCGCAGCACCTCACCCCAACCCCACAGTAGGCACTGTTAGAAACCACGCTCTGCAAATGACGGAGACAGCCCGAAAGGGACCAGAAAATTGGCCACCATGTGGGAAAAACACAGCAAATAATCTTTCATTTCTGTTTTGACCGTGGGTCAGACCAGAGTGCAGGGCTGGAGTTCTTCTGCTTCTCGGTATTATTCAGGAAGGTCTGAGGAGGTGATTCCTTCTAAAAGTGTGCCTGCTTTTCCAGTTTCCCAAAGGCTCAAGGATTGCTTTTTATGTAATGTCTACTGATTTTTAAAATGTGTATTGTTTTTGGGGTGGCCAGAGTCCCTCCCACTTTTTGAAACCGTTGTCCCATGCAGTGGTTGTGGCCATGCATGAGAAACAGCAGGTGGTGCCAGATGACAGATGGTGCGGGAGCCGTCCCGGTGGGAGGGGGCGCGATTGGAGCAGGCAGGCAGCTGCCAGATCTTCCCCGCTCGCTGGCGCCTCGCTCGCTCGCAGAAGCTCGGATCCAGACGCACGCAAGGCGCTGTCCTTCAGCACCACGGCTCGCGCTGGGGCGGGAGGACTCCTGTTTGTCCTCCTCCTCAAATTGGCTTGAATCTGCTCTGACCCCAAGAGTGCAGCACAGTAAGTAGGCATTTGTTTTTGTTGAAACCACTCCCCAATACCCTCTAAATCCTACCACCCGGTCCTCCCCACAGCAGCCTCGTTTTCTGGGGTAACATTCCATCAGCAGGATTGACAAGAGGAATTCAGTTGTGCTCGGCTTTTGAGGGTGGGGTGCAAGCACTGTTTGACTTCCAAGGGAGCTGGAGAGGAATAAATGCGGTTTGTTTATTTAGTTGGCAATCTTGCAATATGGGGGCCGCTAACTTTCCATGGAACCAAAAAAAAAAAAAAATGGCCCTCCGCTATTGAGGAAATGGAGGCATCCATGGCTGAATAACAGGATCAGCTCAAGCCAGCCTCTTTTTGTTTTATGAAATTGAATGTCATGTGCAGTCTACGTGTGATGTGAAGGGTACACCTGGAGACATCGAGTGAATGCATTGTCTTTTTTTGGGAGGGGGTTGCTGAAGGAAAGCCGTGTAATGAAATAGCAACCAGGGTGGCGAGTTGAAATTTATCATACTGCAGGGGGACCCAGAATAATGGGATTTCGTTCTGCACTAAAAATAAGCTTTTCACTGGGGTTATATGGATATTTCAGCTGTAGTGTTTGGGTATTTTTAAAGCTTGTATTTTTTTATGTAGGTCTGGGATTTTCCTTGTTTCCCCCAATTTGAGGGCTATTGAGCCCTGTGGGCAGGTGGCATGTTCTGATGATTAAAGAAGTTTTACTGGACAATGGGGATCATGTCAGGAAATCTAGCGGAAGATCAATGACTGATCACTAGATTGAAAGCCGCCCAAGTGGAGCTGTTGAGGACAGCGCAGTTTTCTCTGTCGCCAGCCCTCTCTCCCTGCCTCACCTCCTGCTGTAACCAGAACCCACTGCTTGCCTTAGGTCTGGGAAGAAAGGCGTGAGGATGGTGAAGCTGAACAGTAACCCCGGGGAGAAGGGCACCAAGCCACCTTCGGTGGAGGATGGCTTCCAGACCGTCCCCCTCATCACCCCCTTGGAGGTCAATCACTTACAGCTGCCTGCGCCGGAGAAGGTAAACGAGGTGCTCTTCCCCTCGTCATCCCCCTAGGACCCCCATCCCAGGAAATAAAATGGCACGAAATCCCATCCCAATTCCTTTCTTTCCCCCATCAGCCATGGATGCCCCCTTTCTTGTAAAACGTAGCTATTTTCTCCAGAGACCAGACATCTCTTGTATTATTCAGATTTATGGTAAGTGTTTCTTCATTTTTTGGTTTGTGTCTATATGCTTGGGCAAGCAAATCAGGCTTTCCTTGTTAAAGTTTTGTCACAGCAGATGAATACAAATAAGCTTCTAGATAGTGACAGAGAAAAACCTGCCTCGATTATTTTGGGAGGTGTTTCAAGAATTAGCTGGTGTACATTTGAAGACAGAGAATTGGATTCAGTCCAACAAGCATTCAGTTTGCACCTGCTAAGGCCCTGTCCCTATCTAGGAGTTGGTTATAAAAAGAAAAAATTACAGAACACTTATTCAGTATGACAAATGAATGTAATGTGTCATGGTGAATGCTGTACCTGAACATCACAAAGGCTCTGAGAGTGCATGGGTGGAACGATCTAAATTCTGTTGAAGTGGGAAGAGGCTGGGGAGGGCTTGGGGATAGGACTGGGGGACAAGTTAGATAAGCTACAGAGGACATTTGGATTGGGACTTTAAAGGTGAGTAAGAACCTTCCAGGAAGACCATGGAGGGACAGGCATTTGAGGCCAGCAGCACACATGTGCAAAGTGTGGGGAGCCTTGGGGACAGCATGCCTGGAGCAGAATGTCTCCGGGAGAGGCGTGGCTGGGGTGAGTGATGGCTGATGGCACATCTCCTGACATGGGAGTGGCCCATGAAGAATGGAGGTGGGCATTCATACAAAGGCGAGGGGTTGTCATCCCATGGGCACAGATGGGAGAAACAGTCATTCACTGCCCACCTGAGAGTGCTTGGGGTTTATAATGTGAGTTTTGGGCCATCATATGAGAGATTTGGAGGCAAAGGATGAAGAGTGAACAATGGATCATTCCGTCTGTTTGATTTTCTCATTGGCATCTCCAGGAGGGCACTGTGCGTCTTACCACTTGGCTCCATCCAATCCAGAGAGGAGGAGCCAAAGCTATAAAGAGCCTGCTGATTGGCTGGGGTCGAGTCATTTGTTTTGAAAGTGCAGAGGTTGTCAGTAGGAGATGGTGCTGGAGTGGGGTGGGGGGCAGACATGAGGATTTCTTGGGCCATTCTCAGAAACTGATAAAGCCTTTAAAAATAAATTTTGAACAAGAAGTTAGCACTCAAAATGTGAAGAGACAGGATTAATTTAGTCCTTGCTACATGCATATCAGATCTTCTCAATTTTTTAAAACATCAGAATCATCAGAGATTTTAAAACCCCTAATATCTAGACCACACCCTAGAACAATTTTATCAGAATCTCTGGGGTGAGACCCAGTGTCCATATTAGTGAAATCTCCCTAAGACACTTCTATGTGCAGCTAAGGTTGAGAGTCGCTGATTTAGATGTGCAGAGGCCCTGGGAATCAGGAATCATGCACTCTCATTTATAGGAACGTTTGGTGAGTTATCCAGGTTCACAGAAGGAGCCATGGAAGTGCTGGAATTGGAAGCCAGATATAAGTGGAACTGGGGAAGGAGGAGGGGAGTGTTTTCCTGGGGTTCTGTGAGGCTCACAGCTACAGCCTGCAGACCTGCGTTTCCTGGCAGTTGTGCAGAGAGAAGGGATTGTGATGGGGTCACTTTTCTTAACCTTGTATAAGCCTGCATGACATTCAGAGCTCATTGTGGTCTCTTTCTCCCCTTACTCTTCCCACCCTGGTACTTTCTTTCCTCAGTGAAGGAGGAGACAGTCCTGATAAGCACTGAGTATTTAGTCCAGACATATCAGAAAGTTGTCCCAAAGGATGGCCAATAAATAAGTACCTTATCTCCACGATGGACATGTGTGTTTGTAAAAGGAAGCCATGAATTCCGAGACATGCAGTGGGTCCCAGTTTTCCTGCAAATCCCCACAGGGGCACATCCCTGCAGGGTCACACCGCAGGCTCTCTCTGATGTTCATGGCAATGTTTTTGCTGGGTGGACCTCAGTTTCCTCAAGTGAGCAGGATCCTGCCTACCTCACCATGGTCAGAATAAACTTAGATGTGGTCTCACGTATAAAGCATCTGGCACAAAACTAACTATAAAAGAAAAATAGTTCAGTCTTCAAATGTCACTTCTTAAATGTTAGAGGCTGTCTTCAGTCATCTATAACACACACACACACACACACACACACATTTTTCTTCCATTTTCTCAATAGCTTAATAGAATATTGGAGTTGCAACTTCGATTTTTTTTTTGTACTGGGGTTGAATCCAAGGCTTTGTACATGCAAGCAAGTACTAAATCACCAAGCTACAGTCCCAGCCCTTTGATTCACATTTTAAAAACTGAAACACAGAGCAGTAATGTAACTTCCCAAAGCAAAGAGTTGGTAAAGCATCTTGGATGTAGAATCTGGACAGTGTTGTTCCAGAACCTTCCACTTTCACAGGAATGAGGAACAAGCTGGCCTGGGATTCCATAGATTTTTGTCCCTGTCTCAAATTCAGTCATTCACCAGAGAGTGACTTGGTTTTCCTCCCACAGGTCTCTGTCTTCTCTGAGTGGGGAACTCTATTAACAGTTTTGTGTGCTAATATTTAGATTTTATGATATTTACAAGAGCAAACATGCCTTCCCCCTGACATTAGGAAAAATGTATTAAAAGTGAATTCCCATGAAGAAGCCAAAGCTCTCTAAATGCTTAGGGTAGTACTGTGGTTACCAATGTCTGAACCTCAAGTGGGATCACATCTTTTCTCCACCTTTCGCCAGCCTACCTTGACTAAGGACTGGAGTGGATTTCCCAAACTACACAGCCTCAGCCTCTCTGAGTGTAAGACAGGGAGGTAATGTTAAGACTCACCTCCCAGGGATGTGGAGGAGGTGACGTAAGCCCCAGTGTGGTTTTAACCCTTTGATTAGATTAGTCATATGGTGACTATTTGAAGCTGAAATGTTTTGGGGGATTCAACATTGAAGTTATTGAGTCCAGTGTTAAATCAAGGTTTTTCTCTTTGGAAAATGTAAAATATGGAATGAGCTTGGTGTATAAAACTCAAAATTATCTTTGGATTCATTCACTAAATAATCTTGAGTAGTGAATGAACATCAGGAGGAAATAAAATTGGGAGGCTCAACAGAGAGAATGAGGTCTTTAGCCTATTTTCTCTTACTATAACAAAATACCCGAGGCTTGGAACTTCATAAAGAAAAGAGGCTTATTTAGCTTACTAGCTCACTGTTTTGGGGTTGAAAGTTCACATAGCATGGTGCCAGCTGTGACTGGGTCACAACTTGTTGGATGGCATCATGGTGGTCGCATGTGTGAGGGAACATCACAGAGAGAAAGCAGGAGAGATCCAGGAACCAGACGTACTCACAACTCTCTCTCAGGAGTTAACTGGGGCCCAGGAGAACTAACTTCATCCCATCTGCTGGCAGCACCCCCTGACCTGGCCTTTCACCAGGCCCCACCTCTTAGAGACCTCGCCACCTGGCCACCTGGCTGTGCTGAGTTCTCAGTTTCCATCACACGCGCCTTTTGGGACACCCTTGACCATATCCAGACCATAGCAATGGGCTTGTCTGGGCCGAGCTGGCCTCTGCTGCCTGGCTTTCAGTTCATCTCCTCGGTAGCTCAGGCACCCATTCTGCTGGTGGGGACACCAGGCCCAGGTTGGTGCAGCGACTGTCCCAAGCTTCCCAGTCGGAGTGGGAGAGCCCGGGGAAGCCCAGCACACCAGGCACTCCAGCGGTCTCCTTCGTGATGCTGAGAAGCGTGTCCATGGCCACCGCTCCTCCTGTGCTCCCTCCTAGGCAGGTTCCTGGGTCCACAGGTGGGGCCTGGGTGGTTCCCCAGAGACGACACCCCCACCTCCAGGGTTCTTTCTTGTCCAGTGCCCACCACTGTCCTCTGCCGCGTGGGTAGTCCCTGCCCCTTCTCTCTGCACTGCCCTGGGCCTCCCCAGAGCTGTGGCCAGTTGATCTCCCTTGGAACCCCTTGCAGTCCCTCTTTACCACATGATGTCGCCCTCAAGCCCTTACCTTACCAGCCTGACACCACCTTGCCGCCAGCGCTCCTTCCCTCTGTTCCTGCTCCGCACCTAGAACTCAGCGTGCCACGGCCTCTCGCACAGCGCTTCTCAACAGCGTCGCTTTGTCTCCAGGGGGGACAGCTTTGGTTGTCAGAACTGGAGGGGTGATTCTCCTGGCAGCACTGAGCAGAAGCCCAGGAATGCTGCTAAATATACTGCAGAGCACACGATAGCTCGCCCTGTGCCCCACAGAATTATCCTGCCCCAAATGCCAACCATACCCAGGGCTGATAAACCCTTTCCTGGAGTTGTCCGGAGTGTCCGTGTTCTGTGCCTCCTCCTCCTGGAGCACGCTCCTCCTTCAGTGCGGAATGCCCCTCTTACCCTTACTCTACCTGTAAGACAGAAGCTCTCCTGGTGCCCTGCCCTGACCACCCATGAGTACGGCCATGGCTCCATGTAGCACTCTTACAGCCACCCAGCCACCCGTCCTCTCCACCTCCACCCATCAGTCACTTGCTCTTCTAGCCATCCAGCTGTCCACCCACCCACCTAGTCACCCACTCACCTATTCACGTAGTCAGAAAACCCTGTTGTGTGCTTTCTTTGCATCAAGCGCTGTGCTAGGCCACATGTGTGCAGCTCCGAGTCCGGAGGGAGAGAGGGACTCTAAACAAGCCGTCACACAAATGGAAGTGCAGATGCAGATTGTAGAAGGGCTATAAAGGATAAGGTGCTTCCTGGGAGAGGGGGTAAAGCTGAGAGGGTCTGATTGTGTAGGAGGGTGGCCGGGAGCTCTGCGGTTCCTTATGGGATCCCGGCTGAGACCCTGCACGGGGAGTCGGGGTAGGGGGACCAGCAGCCAGCAGGCACCGAGGAGGATGGGAGA